CCCCCATGTGCGCCTGCACCAGCCAGCTGCTCTCTGTGGCCTCTGGTCTCCCGCATCTCATCCCTCATCCCTTTATGGACCCATTGTCCACTCACCCTTCCGTTTATTCTCCACCAGCTCCTCTAGCTGCTGTCTGTCTCTCTGTCCAGTGTCCCATCCATCTGTCCATCTTCTTCCGGTTCTTCCTCCATCCACTCTGACTTCCTCTCATCCACATATCCATTCATCCATCCACCCACTTCTCTATGCAGTCAGTCCAGGATTCTCACACCCACCCATCCTTCTCTCTTCTATCCATTCATTGCAACTGAGCAACGAATGGAATTAATGCGTCACCACGCCTGACGCCGGGGTTGTACCAGGAACTGGGTGACTGGCCACGTGAGAACCCCAGAGCAACAGAGAGCACACCCTGTGTGGGGGTGGCTGCTGGGCTGAAAGGCAGCACTGAGCCTACATTCTCCTGGGGCAAACCCCGGGTGTTCTGCCCCCTCCTTCCCCGGGCACCCCTGCCTGCCCTCACAGCTCTGGGACCTGTGAGGTTCTGTGCATCCTCGGGAAAGAGGTAGCCGTTGTCACTGTTCCTGATTCCAGAGATGCTGGCCCTGCGCACCTCGCTGTCAGGCTGGACTGAGGACTTTGGGCAGAGGCAGCCTCCTGTCCGAGGGCTTGGGAGGCATGAACCCATGGAGAGCCTTGGCCTTCCAGACACTGCTCTCTAGAGGAAAGTAAGGCCAAGAAGGAAGCACAGCTTCCCGAAGGAAGCCAAGGCCTGGACCCCAGCCTCCTGGCTCTTAGGTTCTGGCCTACCCCACTCCCCTGGCCCCACTTTCTGCCTTCTCCCCATTCTTAATAGGGACTTTGCCCTGGTTCTTCGTCCCAAACTCTGGGGGGGTGATGCCCTAGATGTTCCCTCAGCCCTACCCATTGTGTTGATGGATGGGAGCCACCGTGACACCCCAGCCCTCATGAAGGGTCCTGTTAGCCATGTCTAACCATGTCACAGCACTTGGGCCAGAGTGAAGGGGGCCGATGGCCCCTGAGGTCTTTTCCTCATTTGTGTCTTTATAACCAGTCCCTCAATCCCTCGTTGGGCTCTCTGCCCCTCATCGCCCTGTGCCCACCCACCCCAGTGCCTGTGTGCACCTTGAACAGGCCTGTGGCTGGGCCTCCCAGCCTGGGCGCTGGGCACAGGGGGCACCCTGCCCTGCCCTCCTCAGGGCCTGCCTCTGTGCCTGGCCCCTGCCCCGCACCAGACTTGCCAGCCGAGCCTGAACCTGCTCTCCTTTCTTTCCAGGGAATCTGACTAAGCACATGAAGTCCAAGGCCCACAGCAAAAAGTGCCAAGAGACAGGGGTGCTAGAGGAGCTGGAAGCCGAAGAAGGTACCCAGGTCTCCAGTCAAGTCCCCAACTCCCTCTTCCTCCTCCTCTGCCTCCCTCCTCCCTCCCTTCCTCCCCATGCTCCCTTTCTGCCCTTCTCCCTTCTTCCCCCATCCCCCCATTCCCTCTACCTCCTGCCCTTCCTCCTGGCCGTGTCCAGCTCCCATCTACCTCCTGATGAACCCCACTCCCCAGGCTCTTGCAATGCGCAGCTGCATATAGTGGGCACTGCGTTCCCCAGGCCGGGGTGTGTGCTCAGAATGCAGATCAGGCCCGGCCCCAGTGGGTGCTCACTGGCTCTGGGTGAATTAGTTCCTGAGAATTAGAGCAGGAGCTGAAGGAGCCCCGCAGCGAGTGAGTGTGTGCCAGGCGTGTGCTAAGCCCAGACCCTGGAGGGTCTCACTGGGTCCTCACCGTGACTCTGTGAGGCACAGACTGTCATAACCGCCGGTTTACAGCTAAGACCCTGCCTGGAGCACCATGTGTGCACACGTGTGCAGATGCAGGGCTCCGTGTGTGTGCGCGCGCACGCGCGTGCATGGGCAGAGCCCCGTGAGGCTCTGTGTATGCACAGCATGTGCAGGGCTCCCTGGGTGTGCAGAGCCCCCTGAGGCACTGCCCATGCACACGTGTTCTGGGCTCCGTGTGTAGGGCGTAGCCCCTGTGAGACACTGTGTGTGTGCACCTGTGCAGGTTTCCCTGGGTGAGTGTGCAGAGCCCCCTCATGCTTCACACGGTGTTCGGGGTGTCTGGGGCTGCTGCTCAGCCTGAACCCTCATTTCCAGCCTACCCTATGCTCCCCTCCCTCCCACAGAGCCCCCCACCCCCGTGCTCCTGCCGCTCTCAGGGCAGTCAGGGAGGGGTGCGATGCCCGGGAGACCCGGGGCTGAGCTCTAGAATGCCCCACCAGCTGTTCCTCTCGCTCTCTCGCCTGTCGCCCAGCTCGTGTCTTCTGGGAAGGAAGGGCGGGAGAGGCCCCAGAGTGGAAGGGCCAGGCTACCCGCCCAGCCACCGCACCCCCTCACACACACAGGGTGGGAGTGGGGGGACCCACCTCACATGGGAGCTTCGAGAGCAAGCAGGGGTGGGGAGGAGGCAGGAAGGTGGTAGAGTGGGGCTGGGGGGGCCTGAGGTTTGTGCCCTGTTCTTGTGTCGCAGAGTCCCTGCTACATAGGCCAGCGTGGTGGCTCACACCAGCAGCAGTTCGCTCAGTACGTCCTGCCACTCGGTTATGACCGGTCACCCCAAGCCACACAACTCTTGACCCTGCCCTCAACCATACCCACACACATACCCGCACATTCAAGCCCACACTACCTACCATCTAGAACAGTGGTTTTCAACCTTCCTGGTGCCGCGACCCTTTCATACAGTTCCTTATGTTGTGGTGACCCCCCAACCATAAAATTATTTTCGTTGCTACTTCATACTGTAATTTTGCTACTGTTATGAATCGGGTGACACCTGTGAAAGGGTCGTTCGACCCCCAAAAGGGTTGCGACCCACAGGTTGAGAACCACTGGTCTAGAGAGTCTGAGAGCTTTCCAGAGAGCTGACAGGCCCTGTTATCCCCCCTTCACCCCCCGCCCTCACACACACACCTGGCCATGCCATTGTCACCAAGAGCTGACAGTGGGGAGGAGGCAGGTAAATCAGAGGCCGTGGGTCCAGCTGGCCCTGCCGAACCAGGAGAGGGGGCTAGTGTGACCCCTGCAGGTGGGTAGCCGAGCTGTCTGTAGCAGGAGGCAGGAAGCACCCCTCCACCCCTGGCAAGCCTTGATCCAAACCCCTAAAATAATGAGCCCACTGCTTGATGCTGGCTCCCCGCGAACCTAGTTTCTGAGACTGTGTGAGTTTACAGGAGCAGCCAGCTCCCCTGTTCTCCTGCAGCCAGCAGTCCAGTACTTAACCCACGGCGTCACCAGCATTCCTGAGACCAGGCAGGTTCCTAAAATACTACTAAGAGTGCGACTAAGGGAGGGGGGGCGGTGCGCGTGCACAGGTTGCTCCATTTTGTTTTTCTCTTCGAAGGATGACCTCACAAAAGAGGCAATGACAGAAAACACCTTGGTTAAAGAGAACCCAGTGGGCCTGGGCCCATCCCTCAAAGCTGCGGGGTGGGGACTTGGCGTCTTTCAGGGACACACAACAGGCAGTTTGCAGTAGGGTCTCCTTGCAGATGTTGGCCATGTGGGTAGCCCTGATTTCAGCTGAGAGAAGGAAAGCCCAGACAGGTCACACAGAGGCCACTGGCTCCCCACCACCTGAATGCCTGGTGGGCTGGACTTGTGCCCCAGTGGGCAGGAGAGACTCTGGCCGGACCCTGGCCCTCACCCAGCTCCCTTCTCCCCATGGGGCATACTGAGGTGCTCTGGCCCACCTTTGGTGAGGTGCCATCCATGTGCTTTTTCCAGAAACACTTCCCAGCCAGTGCACAAGACCCAGCTCCTGCCTGCAGGAAGTTCACAGCCGGTGGGGTGGG